CTCGGTATAAATATTTATTTTGAATTTTATTCTCATTTCGTTTGTTTGTTTTGACCTGAAATTTAGAAAATATTTAAGTTTTAAAATAATTAAACAGATAAATACTTAGGTTAAGATCTGCACTTTATGCACAATAAGTATTTTATATTTATTATTTATTTTATATTTTTCTGCATATTATAAATAATAAAATAATAAAAATATATATATTAAATAACTAAGAAATCAATTACTATTATGTAACAAATTGGCGTATGCATATAAATTTAACTATTACTCTTGTTTATTCACAATTAGGATAAATAAATCAAAATAATCAATCTTATATATTGTATATGATATATGATTAAATTTAAATGATATAAACATAGTAATATAGCACACTTTTAATATGGATATTTATTAAATGAGGTTTCTACTCATATGATTTTATGATTATTTGCATATTTGTGTAACAAAACTTTACACCAATGATTTATAAATTACGTTATGATTATTTGAATTTAAGTATTTTCCATTTTACATATACACTTTCATAAATTAANCATATGATTTTATGATTATTTGCATATTTGTGTAACAAAACTTTACACCAATGATTTATAAATTACGTTATGATTATTTGAATTTAAGTATTTTCCATTTTACATATACACTTTCATAAATTAAAAGGAATGAAGTTATTATAGTTAATATATGCAAATCGTTATCAAATCGTATATTTTCCTTTTCTTCCATTACATGCGTGCGATATATATAAATATATAAACTATGTTACATGCGTTATATGCGTCTCTAATTATTTTTCCCTAGCAAATTTCAATTGAACATAAAGCCGCCACGTCAGTTTAATTGATATGCTAATTGATTGACAACTAAGCAAGGTTACTTTTTAATTAATACAAACTTGAGGTTACATCTTTTCAAATGTTTCTCAATTAATATATAGGGGATATAGTAATTCATATTACACTAACTTTTCCTGTCAAATTTTTGGTTTACCATGAAGCGTTTTAAGAACATAGAAACTTAGTTACATATTCCTTCACAATAAAACTAAAATACTATAGCAATGGGATAAAAGACGCAAAAGTGGTGTGGTTTTCTTCTAGATAACCATCTATAGAATCCTTTGTTAGAAGCTTTCTTTCTTTTATCTTTTCAAAATAAAATCATAAACATTATACATCAGTTTTTAATTTGAATTTATAACATTTAAAAAAAAAAAAAATCAATAAAACCCATAAGATACAATTATTCTATGTTCCATTATTAAACACAGAGTTTGCCTTGTGTGTTTGAAAGATAAGCTTCAAGCAATACAACTCCTCAAAGGTGGTAGGAAACCAAGAAATCTTGATGAGAGTTTTGTCAAACACACAACAATGAAAATGTTCATTTATCAAACCCCACATACAGATTCAACAAAAGGTTACTAATTGATGCCATATATATTGTTGGTGCTGACTTCACGTAAGAACAGTAGTGACCTAGTGACCAAGATGTGCACTACAAGACCATAAAGATTATATTCTTTATTGAATACATGAATACCCCATTACCCTCAGATATCTCCTTTGAAAAATCTACTCATAGCTTCTCAAGGCGGTATTTTCTTAAATTTCTGGTGCTAGATATGGATGTAATATAATATGACTAAGAGTCTAATACAAAGCTTGCAAAACCGTATAGTCTTTCATTTATCTTGAAGATAAAAATTCATAGCATGGTTGTATCTATATTTTAACAATTCAAATTCCACTTTTACTGCAAACAAACAAAAGATTGATAAAGGTCTATTTATGACATATCTAATAGTATCCATATAGGTTGATAACATCAACATGCCACGTCTCAATTCGAAATAACTCTTTAAAAATGAGAAACTTGTCTCCTTCATCGCAAGTTTTTCTACACATTTCTTTCTTTCTTCTTCTTTTCTGTAAAAATATAAAACCATGAGAAACCTCGTCTTCTTCTTACATCATTCTGTTCTGAAGATCACTAGAGATGCCAGAAGCTATTGATCAAATCATATTACTTATTTACATAGTTACTTAATGCATTGTAGTTTATATTGACCTTAACTGTTACATGTCACTTTTTCGGCTGGAATTTACAGTACACACTCTCTATTTCACCGAATGCAACATAATCTACATTCTTCCTATTCTCATATTCGAGTCATACATAAGCTCTATTTCACAGTTTTCATGACTGGCAAACCATTGATTACACTATCCCACTTTAAGCCCAAATCGAGTACAGTTCGGTTGAGAGACACACATACACCATTACTCCATTAAGAAAGTCTTGGTATGTGATTTCTAGTTTTGAGGGAAAAAAGTATTTGCAGCCCAAACTCATTAATGAGCCAAAAAGTGTTGACCCAATAAACTTAGCCCATCTATAATTGGTTGCGTACTTTAATGAGACTCCAAAAACGTCACTGTACAACAGACATTACGGTTTCGTCGGATACACGCAGAGAGAGAGAGAGAGCCCAGCAATTTTGGCATTTGCTCTCACTGAAACACAAAGCAAGATTTCATTTCGCCAATAAAGAGAACAAGAGACCCGACATAATAGAACGCATAATGTGATATTTTTGATTAATTAATTAATACAAGACCTTTTATTTGCCTTTATGCTCTCAAGTCTTTTTCACCTTTTTATTTCGAAATTTGCCATGATTTTTTATCATGCAAAAAGATGTGTCAGATAACGATGTAAAAATATGTTTAAAAATTCTACTTGCTTTATTGTTTTTGTGTGCATAAACAAATTTTAGAAAGCTTAAAAGTTGTATCCAAATCTCAGAGCTAATAATTGTGGTTAATCTATCATCTAACTATATTTTTCTTAAAAGAAGCGATTTTCCCCTCCAATACCAACTAATTCAACAACTCACTTACTGTGTAATCAAATTGATAATTGCTGGCAAGGACAGTTTATGGATTAGTCACAATTCACAAGAAAAGCAGACGTGGACCCCAAGCACCAAAATGGGGAAGACAAGATAATTATTTTAAGTGAAAAATCATTATCATTCTTTATTGGTTTTCAATAATCACGATTATAAGAAAAGGCAATGATGATGCAAAATCCTCCTTTTAACCTTATTACAAATTTTTTAACAGTGTAAATGGTAATTAGCTTATAACATGATGGAATAAAACATTCACTTAGGTTTTTGTGTCAAATACAACATCCATTCCAAAAAGATAAATGTTTTAGAAAATAATTTATTTTTCAAATATACTTTATTTTTTATGCATGTTTTGCTATATTTTTATGCATGTTTTGTCAATTAAGTGTAATTGTAAATTTTAAGAAAATCAAATTCATTTACTGAATTCTTTGGTTTGAATTATTGTTGATAATTACAAAAATTTATACATTTATAATTTAAAATTTAATATATTTTATCAATATATGTCAAAACTCTATAACAAACATAAGGAATTTTCAAATAAACTATGCGCTTTTTCCACCTATAATAATAATATGTGCGGAAACTCTATAACATAAACTCTATATTTATGTAATGATATTATTATTTTTATACTGTCAAAAATATTTATATTCAGTCCACCTAAAATAAACATATTATCGACAGTACAAAAGACACAGATTCATCAGTATCACCTTTCTAAGTAAAACATTTTTATAGTCCTTCATCAACAATATTTGTTTTTTAATATATACAGATTCTCAATTTCCCTGATCTCGTGCCCTCTCTCTCTCTCTCTTTCTTCAAGCCCACCGGAGAAAGGTTATGTCTGCGACTGCGACGAATGTTCAACCAACCGATTACCACCTAAACCAGTGGTCAACCGAAGAAGACGATGCTTCTGTGATGGAAGCTTTCATCAGCTCCGAACACTCTTCTCTTTGGCCTCAACCACCTCTCACTCCTCCTCAGGTCACCCAAGAAGACACTCTCCAGCAACGCCTCCAAGCTTTAATCGAAGGCGCTAGAGAAAGCTGGACATACGCCGTGTTCTGGCAACTATCCCACGAAGAAGACAGCAACAACACTGCGTTGCTAGGCTGGGGCGATGGTTACTACAAAGGCGAAGAAGAGATGAAACAGAGGAAGAAGAAGAAGAAACAGAGCAGCTCTGTTAGTGCGGCGGAGCAAGAGCATCGGAAGAGTGTGATCCGAGAACTCAACTCTCTGATCTCCGGCGTCGGAGGAGGAGGGAGTGTATCCTCCTCCGACGAAGCGGGAGATGAAGACGTGACGGACACGGAATGGTTCTTCTTGGTTTCGATGACGCAGAGCTTCTTCATCAACGGCTCTGGTTTGCCCGGGCGAGCTTTCTCGAACTCGCGGACCATTTGGCTCTCTGGTTCGAACGCATTAGCTGGTTCGAGCTGCGAGAGAGCTCGTCAAGGTCAGGTTTACGGGTTAGAGACTATGGTTTACGTACCGACGGAAAACGGCGTCGTTGAGCTTGGCTCATCGGAGGTTATACATCAAAGCTCGGAGCTTGTTGAGAAAGTCAACACCTTTTTCAGTTTCAACAATGGTGGTGGTGGTGGTGGAGGTGAGTCCGGTTCTTGGACGTTTAATTTGAATCCGGATCAAGGAGAGAATGATCCGGTTATTTGGATTAATGAACCGGATTTAACCGGAATTGAACCGGTTCTTGGAGCTCCGGCAGCTTCTAACTCTGAATCTCAGACAGCTTCGAAGCTTTGTAATGGAAGCTCAGTGCAGAACCCGCAGATCTCGAGTATTGGGTTTGTGGAGGGAGACAGTGACAAGAAGAGATGTTTGGTTTCAGACAAGGAAGAGGAGAAGCTGTCTTTTACTTCTGTTCTTCCATTGCCTGCGAAATCTAACGACTCTAATCACTCTGATCTCGAAGCTTCGGTTGCTAAAGGACCACCGGAGAGTGGTAGAATCGTGGTTGAACCGGAGAAGAAACCGAGAAAGCGAGGGAGAAAACCGGCTAACGGTAGAGAGGAGCCTTTGAATCATGTTGAAGCAGAGAGACAGAGAAGAGAGAAGTTGAACCAGAGATTCTACTCTTTAAGAGCTGTGGTTCCTAATGTCTCTAAGATGGATAAAGCTTCTCTTCTAGGAGACGCGATTTCGTATATCAATGAGCTTAAAGCTAAGCTGCAAAAGGCTGAGTCTGATAAAGAAGAGTTGAAGAAGCAGATTGATGGGATGAGCAAAGAGGTGGGGGATGGGAATGTGAAAATTTTGGTTAAAGATCAGAAGTGTGTGGATCAAGATTCAGGTGTGTCGGTAGAGGTGGAGATCGATGTGAAGATCATTGGTTGGGATGCAATGATACGGATCCAATGCGGTAAGAAGAATCATCCTGGTGCTAAGTTTATGGAAGCACTCAAGGAGTTGGATTTGGAAGTGAATCATGCGAGTTTATCGGTTGTGAATGAGTTCATGATCCAACAAGCTACTGTGAAGATGGGGAATCAGTTTTTCACGCAGGATCAGCTCAAGGCTGCTCTAGTGGAGAGAGTTTGAGAAGGCCCATGCAAGAAAAGTTGGCATCCCATGTGATTGTAATGTAAAATGTATTGTTTAAGGGTAATTTTGCAGCAGAGCACCCAACTTGTTTATTGATGCTTTGTTAGAGAAGTTTTAAAGTTTAGTAGTTTGATGGTAATTAGTAGCTTTGACTAGTTTGGGATTTAAGGTTTTCATGAGATTAAGGTGTATTTGGTTATGTTTGGTTCATGTATTTGCGTATGTACATATTGTGTAATGAAAATAAGGATTTCTTTGTTATGAATAAAATCAAAATGGGATTCAAGTTTTGAGTTTTCATTTTCAAGTCAGTTTTTGTTCTTGTTGTTGTTGTTATGTGAAACTGAAGGTTTGTGAATTCACCTCAGCCACATACAATTCTTTTGGAAGTTGGTATCAAAACAGGCATCTACCTTGTTAGGAAGAATATACCCTTTTTTTTATTTTCTAGTATGCATTATGTTACATCAATCACACCTCTCATAAGGACCTAAAACTAGTGTAGATATGCATGATGAGGACCGTTCTATTAGATCAATATCATAAAATTGGGATGTGATTTTCGAACCGAATTTTTATTGGTTCATAGTGTTTAATTGTATGCAGACTCTTGTGTTTTCTTAGTCACATTTTAGAGTGCATAGAGGAACAAAAATAAGAGGTCTGACTCGGACATGTGTGGACGATTATTAAAGAGAGAGTAGATGGGCTTTATTTTGGAAGGATATTAAGGAGAAAGTTTAATTATGCAGAAAAATGCGGAGACATGTGTGGTCGAATATTAAAGAGATTGTTCTGCAAAATGTATTATTATTTCTGCTTTCTTTTAAGCAATGATATTCAAAAACGTGTGTGGGAGTGAGTGAAGAAGATTGATAGAACGTGCAATAGAGGTGAAGAAGAAGAAGACGAAAGCATGCGCAACAAAAAGCATCTGGTTATTTTGCTTGGGAATATTATTGCCAAAATAACAAATAAAGACAAAGAAGAGAAGTGACAAGTTTTTGTTTGTACATACTATTTAGTCTATGATCACTCTAGAGTTATCTCTTTCAAATCTAATATATGAGGTTGAAGATCATTTATAAAACACTCTACAAGAACCAGGTAAAATCTGCAACATGTTTTGAAGATCCATAGAGCTTTTAGTTGTGTGAAACAAAACTGTGTTGGGTTTTCTTGGTTTGGACTGAATTAATACACTTTTATAGCAGTTACTATAAATAACAATGCAATGATCAGTCGTATCCTAAAAGCCCTTTCTTCAAAACAAAAAAGATCAGTCGTATCCTGCCATACTTATACGCACACATGGCTTTTGTCTGATTATATTGTAAAATTCCCAAGACGATCGAATATGCTTTGGGTTAGACTACCAAACTGAACTAAATAATTGTTTTTCTAATATATTTGCATGGTTGTCTTTTTTTTATAACACTGATATTAGTTCGAGCCGACATGGTTTCATAACATACAAAGAAAGAGCAGAGAAAAGATAGGTGTCAATAGACACCAAGAACGAAACTATGGGCGGATTTGGCCTTTCTTGCGTTCAGGCCTTACCCATCAATTTTCATTTTTTTGTTGAAAGAGAGTAATTTGTTTTTTTCTTCTCATTTTACTATATGAAGAAATTTACCATATCATCCAATCCAATTATGATAAAGTTTTAGTTTTTTTTTTTGCGTTAAATATTCTAATAATAATAGCTAGTTAGTTTTGGTTTTCCTTAAGAATATCACATTTCACGAATATCATTATTGAAACTTCCTCGAGACCCTCCACGACGCACTCAAATATCCAAATGACCACCTCAATTTCAGCCATATTCGTCACAGTATTTCCTTTCTCTTTTCCAGGATAGATTCATGGAATTTGGATCACGCATTTCCAGAGCGCAACGAAGCAGCAAACGTTATTGCTATAAATGTCACTCACGACAACCGTCACCAGTCCTACATCGCCCGTAATGCACCTTGTTGGCTACATCACCTACTTGCTTTGGAGGTTCAGCAATAAGGTTTTGGGTAAGGTTTCTTTATCATTCTCTGTTGATGTCTAATGATATCCCATCCTTTCTCTGTTATTTTCTTTTCTGTATTATTTCGAACTTTCATTGTACCATTGCTCCAGTATTATAAAAAAAAAATATCACATTTCATTCTCCACACGCTTAAAAAGCTATTATAAAAACTGATGATATAAAAATGCTAAAACAATTAGAGTCTGTAGTTAAGTGGATTGTGCTAGTTCAGCCAGTGGGAGTTGTACCCACGTAATACATATATGTTGTGACAGTTTTTATTTTACGTTAAAAATATATTCTACTAAAATTTAATCAAAGCAAAACCAAATTATTTATAACATATTTTATGTTATTAAAAAAATTTGTAAGCCGGAAAATAAAAAAGAAATTGAACCAGGCTGAACCTTCCTGATCGCTAATGTTTTTTTTTTTTTTTAAGTAGTTCAAGGTTGCACCAAAAAGTAGTTCAACAGATTATTTTGCTGAATACTAAAGTTATTTCCAAAAAAAGAAGAAGATTAATTTCTTTTGTGTTGCGAGACCAACTCTCTTCCAGCTTGGCTTGACTTTTTCAGAACATCTACAAACATATCGTTTCAAAAAATAAAAATATCATATACGACGATGGTGATATACGCTGTAACCGATGGCTAGCTACAGAATGCGCTATGAAATCATCTTGGTTTGATAAGCTTATGCACCATATGGTTTACAGTTTTGGTTGGTTAGTTGCTCAAAAACAATTTTTTGGTTAGGATCTAAGTTTTGTTTCAGTTTCTCCGAATAGCGACCTACATCAAGAGTTCTTCTTGTTGGACAGCTTACTCCAGTGAAGTAACAATACCTTCTTGTTGTTGCTAAGTTAAAAATTGCGGCCACAGATATAGCTTTTTCTTTTTGTGGAACTCAGACATTGCGAGGCTTGTGACGTACATAATGGAACATAATGACTCTATGAATTAAACATCAACGAGTGTGCAGTTAGATAGTCTCTGATTTCCCTTGTCCTCTCGTAAATTAAGTGGGAATAGGTTAACTGAAGAAAACATTAGATTATCTCCAAATATTACTCTATAATTTCAAATATCAAATTTTTTGTTTTCTAAAAAGAAATTTGTAAATTTGAAATTTTGAGCAATGAAACTTAAAATAATTTTTTTTTCTAAAAATAAATTTTTAAATTTGAAATTTTGAGTAATGAAACTTCAAATAGAGAGTGTTACTATTCAAATTTCAAATTTGAAGTTTCATTTTTTCTCTTCATTTTGATCCTTATAATTATATATCACAATTATGATTCTTTAATATTTTGTTGTTTATCATTTTAGTCCTCTGAAATTCGTACCTCATTAAAATAACAAAATTGTGTTTATAAATTTAATTTGAACATAATTTGTTTTGAAACATTAAGATAAAATTTCAAATATTTTAAAACAAAAGCTAGACAACAACAAGATTATAAGATTTAATGTCGTATTTTGTTGTTAATATTTAATTATATATTTTAATGTAATATTTTATTAATTAATATTTTATTTACATGTTAGTTATTTATAAAAAATTATGAATTTGAATTAAATATGAAAATATAAAGATCAATAAAATACAAATAAATTTGGAATTAAGTTTACGTTTTGTTTTTTTATAAGAACAATTTTTAAATTCTGAATATAAAATTTACAAACTCTAAAATATAGAATCTTTTTGGATATGTTTTTATGCAAGAAGACTCATTTTTACTTCACAAAAAATAAGATATTGTGTAGAGAGAATACATTTCTTGTTTGTTAGTGATTTTTAAGATGAAATTGCCTTTTTAGGCAAATTCTGATGGGACACCAAAACATCAAAATTGGTGTGATCTCAGCTCCAATGGAAAACTAAAAATTGCCCCAGACCACCAAATTTGGTATATAGTGAATAATGTTACACCAAATTTGGTCTAATACTATTCATCCCACCAAATATTTAATATACATATTTTATTATGTTTTGTTCAATAATATAATTTTAATTATTATTATTAATTAGTTCACATTTGTAACTACATATAAATACACTATATTATTTGTATTCTTAGTTATTTTTACAAAATTATAATACTTTATTTTATTTTAAAATCAAAGTCACTATATCAATTATAATCTTTTAATTTATATTTAATCAGTATTAATAATTTAAAATATTACATTGTAAAACTAGGTTCAATAGTAAATAATTAAACTTTACGTAATACTATCAAATTAATCAAACACTAAAATATTTTTTAGTTTTTATTTTATAATATAAATAACTTGTATTACTAGCTAATACAAATTTTATTAAATAAATATATTATTCTATTATATGCTTTTCATAATTAATAGTTTGTAAATTTTCATTTAATATTATATATTGAATAAATACAGAAAAGTATAATATTGTTAAACATAAAATTTAATTGTATAAATCCTATTAACTTAAATTACAAAAAAAAATTAATATCATATCTAAGTATGATAAAACAATTATTTATCAGTTACCGATAATAATTTATTAAAAAAATACTAAAACTAAAAATATTAAATAATATATAATTATTTTGGTGTAGTGTTTGGTATTATTGTTAGAAATGACTAAAAAATATTTATACCAAAATATGAAATTTAGTGTAATTTCAACACCAAATTGGATGTTATGGTTGGAGATGTCTTTATAATAATTGATCTATTTCGCTAAAGATTTGATGTAACTGAAACCTATTTTGCCAAAGATTTATCGAATAATATTACTCTATTTAATTCATTATTCGGTTCACTAAAAGAATTCACAAGGTACAATCTATTATATTAAAAGAGAAGTCACAACTTCTCTTCATGTGTGATTTTTTTAAAATGGACCATTCC